TAATAGTAACTAGTACTGATTTGCTACTATTAATTTGCAAGTCATTTGCCCTGTAAAGATTCTTGTTTCTTCCAGAATCTTTTTCATATCCTCTTTGGATCTTGCTATCCATGTTGTATTATCTATGAATGTGATAGTTGCATACCTTAACTCTAGCTTTCTTTCAGTGTTTCTCTTTAACTCTGAATCCCAAAGTGGCATAATTGTAGATTAAAAAAAAAATATTAATTTTGAAATATAAATAAGTTTTTATAATTATAAATTATATATTTAATAATATTATTGATAATAATAAAAAAAGTTTGTAAAGATATTTTTTTTTAATTGGATAAATTTATAAAAAAAACAATTATAATATTAAAGAATAAATAAAATGCACAATATAATATTTATATTTCTTATTAAATTTCTTAGATACTAAAAGATTTTTCAAAAAAAGAGTTGAAATTTTAAGTTTTTATCCTAATTAAACAAAATTGGAATATTATTAATACTATTATTCTAGTTAAGTCATAAGTTCAAATTTTAAAAATAAAAATATAAAATAAGATTTTTTATTTTTAATGACTTAAAATAGCAATGTAATTGTGAATTAAAAAAAAAAAGTAACTTTTTTTAAATAATAAATATATTGTAAATTTTTTATTAGAATATTTTTTAAAAAATAAAAATAAATACATTTTAGATTCCTTTTTAGGTATTAATTTATTTTAAAAAATAATTAAGAAAGATGCATAAACTTTAATATAGATTTAATGGAATTTTAATCTTAAAATGCAAACCAACTAAAGTTACATGTGTTTTAAATAATCTATAGCTGCACTGCATTTGGTAAGGAAAATCCTCTTACGCCGGCCAAAACATTTTCTATTGCAAGTTTTGCCATCAAATTTCGCGTTTCTAATGTCGCAGAGCCCAAATGTGGAATAATAATAACATTGGGGAATTTCAACAATGGATGATTATGGTCTAATGGCTCTGGAGTCGTTACATCTAATCCAACTGCTCCTATTAAATTTTCTGACAAAGCACGCAAAAGATCATCTTGACAAATAATTGAACCGCGTGAAGTGTTTACAAGTATCTATTTAAATTTATAAACAGAAATATTTGTAAGAAAATCATTTTATAAAAGATCACTATAATTAACTCACAGCATTTTTCTTCATCTTCTTAAAAGCATCATATTTAAACATTTCTCTTGTCTGTTCATTCAAAGCGCAGCATATACAAATAATATCCGACTCTTCTAACAAGACGTTAAATGGTACTTTATCCGCACCAAGAGATTCAGGTTTTGGCTTATCACTGACACCAGTATAAATTATCCTTCCATTTGTACCCAAAAAAGGCTTCAGTCGAAAAGCAGTCGCTATACCAATGCGCCCAAGACCAACAATACCGATAGTCTTATTGGTTAATTGTGTGCCTATAAAAATTTTTTAATGTACTGTTTTTGCTAATAGAGTAAATATATTGAAAATTACCTAACAACCACGTTGGATTCCAAGTGAGCCATTCACCATTTTCAACTGCTTTAATGCCCTTCGAAAAAAAATTATTTATATTTTACTTGTAAATTATAACAAAAGAATACAAGTATAATTGGCATACCTCACGCATTCTGCGTGCTGCTGCCAACACCAGTAATACAGTGAGATCTATCGAAATAAAAGTTATCACGTGGAATAAAAATCATTCTTTAAGTAAACGTCTTACCTGCAACGGCATCGCTGAGAACACCGGGAGTATGTCCAAGAGGTATGTTGCGCTTACGGAGT